ATCTGCCTGTTAGCAGTCCCAAGAAACGGGCCGGACACAGCGGCCGAAACAGCGCCTTCCTCGATGAGGGACCCGTCTTCCCAATGGCTGTGGTGAAGAGGCATCATGGTGGAAAGAAATTGTGCAAGGCACTTTCTGGTGAGTGGCCAAAGGGAAAACAAATATTCACTCCATTAATCTGTATTGGTAGCAGCTTCTGTTAGAAGCACACGAGTCGTTAGGCGCTGGCAATGCGAACTTTGGACATCAAAAATATTGGTGCGTAAAGTATGCAATTTGTAGTGAGGCATATGGAAAACTTCGGGAGCTTCATATTTCTCTTTTTTTATTACATTTTGATATACTTATGTTTTTTGTAAGAAAGCTGTCGCACATATTTTCTCTATCTGATACTCCTTTTGTATTAACTGGGAGGCAGGCATCCCACGAAATTTAATTTCAAGGAAAGACGTCCTATGGGAAAATGAAGAAATTTATTCAGTAAATTTTCGACACTGGATCCCAGGTCGTCGTCAGACTTGAGAAAATGTGCAAAGAATAATAAACATTTCAAAGTGCTCGTACGGTTTTATAGTCGTCTAGCGGTGGACATAATTAGCAGTCTCAATGGTGTAATGGCTAATTGGCAATTGTAATTTTTGTTGGTCCGGAGTCAATCCGGGTCATCCGGTGTGGGCGCTAATTGTGGTTCTTGTTGGCCCATAGTTATCGGCTGTAGTCTCTTCTACCTTTCTTTGAGGTGTTTGTACACTCCAGCCAACCCCGATACGCCAGTTGATGCATGAATCATCGGAGTGCATGGCCTCAAGAAATGCTCGGCCTCTTTGGAGGGGCAAACCCCAACGATACGTGTTTTGACCCATGCTTAGGTGTGTCCTGTGTCAAGGCAACGCATAGCCACTTCGGACAAATGGTCATCTCACCCCATATTTTGCTGCTGATACCTCTGGTGATTAAATCCTGTAGGAGTTTTAAAGCTTTGGACAATAAGGGAATGTTCCTACGTGGAAATACAGCACCACAGACAGCTCGGAATATTAATGCTTTGTTTTGTTCTAATGTTAAAGCACAACAGGCAGTACTAAATTCGTTTGTCGTATCTTGTTCCGGTAACTTTGAATTTACGAATGAACCATACTGTTGGACATAAGCAAAGTTGGATAATGTCAAGCAGAAATTTACCATCGACTCAAACCCACCTCAAAGTGCGCATGTATTGTCGCCGATACTGGGTGTTAGCAAGCAAAGAATAATAAGTGAAAAACTTGGCTATGTGAGTTCCATATGAACTTAAGGTCCAATAGAAATAACAATGTTCTCGTCACAAGATTGCTTCATTTTTAAATTGACCAAAAAGATGTGAGGAAAAAGCACTCCAAGAAAATAACCCGAAATGTAAAAACATAGCGGTTGGACAAAAAAACCTACCTACTCACAGACCAAAGCAGAATATTCTTCAAAAGAAGCTAATGCGGAGTGTTTGGTAGTCGAGCACAGGTTTTATCCGTTATGTTTTCATGAAAACTGGCTAATCGATCACGATGGAAGTAAATTGCAACCAGTTGGACCAACTCGTCTAAACACTTGCGGAAAATAGCCTAGGCTGGTCAACTGAGCAACTCGTATTTTATTGCACGACAACGATAGGCTACTTACTGAACAAATGGCAAGGAAATGGCCACAGGAGTCGAAGGTAGATGTTCTCCATCATCCAGCATATTCACCAGAGATTGCCCCCACCGACTAGCACCTTTTTTGAAATTGATAGCAAACGTTTCGTGCGAAATCAATTCAATTCCAGTTATGCTCTGTAACGGGCCTCCTAAGTTTTAACTGACTCGCGATTATCAGGCCTTAATACTACCAGAACGAAAAAGCTACCGCTAGATAGGCAGCTTAGCGACTGCTAGCCCGCGTGTAGGAATTACTTTTATCTGCTGTTGGTGATTTCGAGCATGATTCCCGAACGTAAAGCGAACAAAGTTTCTATCTCAGCAATCGCATCTGCCTTTTCTCAAAGTGCCCTTTCTTTTCTCCATCTTCTTTCCCATCCCCCATTTAAGACACTTCACTGGATCTGGATGTGGGCTACGTCATCATCAAAAACCCCACACTCCGGCAACGAATCACGGCAGTCTACGATACGGCGCGAAAACGGCAGCTGAGTATTCGCAGTGCCTTGAAGCATGGCATCGCGGGCTTCGAGGGCGTCTCCTCAGAATCCGAGGAGGTGCGGCTGAGTCAGGAACAGCAGAAACAACGCTTCTTCGTCTACGACACGGCCAACAGACAGAAACTCTCCTTCGAGGACGCCGTGCGCATGGACATTCTGAGTATAGATTCGTGCTCCAATGAGAAAGTCAATTTTTCGGAATATTCAAAGTGAGTCA